ACATACATACATACGTACATATATACATGAATACATACAGACAGACAGACATGCAGACATACGTGTATACATACATACTCACATACATGCATGCATGCATGCATACATACATATGCGTATGGTTTTAAATGCATGCGTACAAACATACATGCAATCATACATTCATGCATACATGCATACATGCATGCATGCATACATGCATGCATACTTCCATGCATGTATGCATACATACGTGCATGCATACATACATGCATGCGTACATGCATACATACATACATACATACATACATGCATGCATACATACAGACATACATACATACACATGTACATCTATATATATATATATATATATATATATATATACATATGTGGGGGGATCTCGGGGGGGCCCCAGAAAACAACCGGTGCACTGTCAGCACCTCAAGAGGGCCTCCCAGGATCTCCCGAAGCCTCGCGAGGCCTCCCCAGACCAATCCAGGAGCAAGAGGATAGAGGAGTATGAGAACGAAGCTGAGGGCAAGGAGGCGGTGTGTACGACCTGCGCCAGCTCAGACAGGGTACCGAACTGCAGCAGGTCGTGAGCTCGGCCTCCTTCCTTCCGCGCTGCTGCGCCGTCGCAGCGGCGGGGCTTGCCGCAAGGAGCTGGACAGCTCACAGCAGCTCCCGACGCCAGCCCCCTGGCTCACCTCACGCCCGTCGCGCCCCGCGGTGTGCGACTTACGTACCTTCGCGCCCTCTCTAGAGGCTGCCCTGGCAAAGGGCAGCCGCCTGGCCCCGGCCGCGACGCGCGACATGCGGCCTCACCTTCGCGCCCCTGGCGGTGGCCTGTAGGCACCGGTTCCCAAACGTGAGGCCCTCGAATCGGCGGCGACGATGGGGGCGAATAGCCCAGGGGCGGGCATTACACGTTCTCGCCCGGGAGCCTTTTCGAAGACATAGATCATCGGCGCACCTAAATACATGTATTGCTCTCCCATGGGCTATTCGCCCCTATCGTCGCCTCTGATCGGCGGCAACTCGGACGTTGACTTCAAGCTCGCAGCCAATGGCACGCGAAAGCTCGAAAGATTGGATGTCTCAAGAGTAATCACTGGTATCCTGGCTAAGGAGCCGAACTCTATACTCCTGCGCGTTCTCCGGCACCGCACTGAAACTCGAACAGGTAAGCGGATCCTGGTGTATACGGGATCCTGGTGTATACATGCTTCGTTGCTTCCCCGGGATAACGGGGAAAAAAGTACACACCACACCATCCCGACGTCGTCCCCGACCGTCAACAAGTCGTGGGATTGAAAAACAGCCCGCCACTGGTAATGTATATGTGCTCCAGTTTCCGACCAACTTCACCCTCTCGAAGGTCACACACGCGTTGATTTCAAACTGGAAGCTTTCCAGACTCGAGACCTTCAAGCACTGGGTGTGTCCGAGGCTCTCACTAGTATACAAACGCAGCCCCTCGCCGCAATCTCTCCGCAGAGCCCTTTGAGCGCACTCTTGAACAGGAGTCCTCTGGGATTTCACTTGAACCTGAAGAATTCGGCGTACGTATCCCAAGCCTCCTGCCATCCCAAAAACCTCGCCCGACCACCTAGGAAGCGGCCAATACCACGCCATGGTTTTCGGCCGCTCCGTGAGCTTTGGACATGCAATCAGGGACATCGCGCTTGGCCTATCCACCCGCTCCACAGCTTTCCGAATATCTGGAAACTCGGTCTCGTGCTTAGTTCTACCCAGGTCTGCACGCGAGCCGCCAGCAGAACTGCACCAGGAGTCATGGCAGAGCTCCCGAGACCTGAGGGGTGCACACCGTCCAGCGCCCATGGGCATTCCCCGAGCCCTGGCCGGATGCGAGCCGCCAAACTCGCCATACGCCGCTCTCTGGAGGCCGGCTCGGAGGGCACGGACGAGGACCCTCGGACGGCTCACTTCGAAAGCAGCGCAGGCACACCCCCACAGAGTTATCTCACACAAGACCACCCTTCAATAGATTTTACGCGTTCAGCCAGCCTCGTCATGTCGTCGATGGTGTCGCCACCACTGTGGACCACTGGAGAACTCGTCTGAGGGATGTCCTGTGAGGAACAGAAAAATCAACGCACCCTTGCATCGACTCTACGCTAAATGGCTTCCACAATGTCCGCTCACACCACCGCACGCCCGTATCGGAAACACCCGAACCCAAGTTGCGCGCGAGAGGGAAGCGAGAGGGGGACAGGGGGGGAGAAAAAAGGTAACACCTCTCTCCCCACCCATCCTGGCCCATGAACATCACACCTGAGACAATCTCGCTGCCATCTCGCATCGCCGCCACAGCCAGCCGCATCTCGGTGCACTTGCCGCTGCTAGTGAGAAGGGGGAGCTGGAAGCCTACGGTCTCCTGACCGAGCAAAGCCTGATAAAGAGTCCGCTGCACTCGCACCTTGCTGTCGTCACCGACGAACTCCTGGATGAGGTCCTTGCCGACCACATCCTTCTTCAAATAGCCAGACAGCTCCTCGGCCTCGGGATGCCACTCCTCTTTCTCCTGATCACCCTGCTCCTCCCCATCCTCCTCTTTCTCCTCTTTCTCATCTTCCTCCTCCTCCTCCTCCTCCTCCTCCTCCTCCTCCTCCTCCTCCTCCCTTTCCTCCTCCTCCTCCTCCTCCTCCTCCTCCTCCTGCTCCTCCTTCTACTTTTCCGTTTCCTCCTCCTCCTCCTCCTCCAAATGATCCTCCTCCTCCTCCTCCTCCACTTTCTCCTCCTTTCCAGATTCCTCCTCCTCCTCCCCCTCCTCCTCATCATCATCATCATCATCATCATCATCATCATCATCATCATCATCATCATCATCATCATCATCATCATCATCATCATCATCATCATCATCCTCATCATCCTCATCATCATCCTCATCATCATCATCATCATCATCATCATCATCATCATCATCAGCAGCATCATCATCATCATCATCATCATCATCATCATCATCATCATCATCATCATCATCATCATCATCATCATCATCATCATCATCATCATCATCATCATCATCATCATCATCATCATCATCATCATCATCATCATCATCATCATCATCATCATCATCATCATCATCATCATCATCATCATCATCATCATCATCATCATCGTCATCAGCATCATCATCATCATCATAATCATCGTCGTCAGCAGCAGCAGCATCATCATCAACAGCAGCATCAGATTCATCATCAGCGGCATCATCATCAGCATCAGCATCATCATCAGCATCATCATCAGCAGCATCAGCATCAGCATCATCATCAGCATCATCATCAACAGCATGAGCATCAGCATCAGCAGCATCATCAGCATCAGCATCATCAGCATCATCAGCATCGTCACCATCGTCATCATCATCATCATCATCATCATCATCATCATCAGCATCATCATCATCATCATCATCATCGACATCAGCATCAGCATCATCAGCATCATCATCATCGTCACCATCGTCATCATCATCACCATCATCATCGGCATCAGCATCATCAGCTGCATCAGCATCAACATCAGCATCGTCATCATCAGCATCATCAGCAGCATCGTCAGCATCATCATAAGCATCATCAGCATCAGCGTGAGCATCATCATCAGCATCACAATCATCATCAGCATCATCAGCAGCATGATCAGCATCCTCATCATCGTCAGCATCATCCTCATCATCAGCAGCATCATCAGCATCATCATCATCAGCAGCATCATCATCCTCATCATCGGCGTCGGCATCATCATCAACATCACAATCATCATCAGCATCAGCATCATCATCAACAGCATCAGCAGCATCATTATCATCATCCGCCTCCACCTCCGCCTCCGCCTCCTCCTCCTCCACGGCCTCCTCCTCCTCCCCTTCCTCCTCCGCCTCCTCCTCCTCTTCCTCCTTCGCCTCCTCCTCCTCGTCCTCCTCCTCCTGCTCCTCCTCCTCCTCATCATTCGTCCTCTCCTCCTCCTCATCCTGCTCCTCCTGCTCCTCCTCCTCCTCCTCGTCCTCCTCCTCCTCATCCTCCTCCTCATCCTCCTTCTCCTCCTCCTCGTCCTCCTCCTCCTTCTCCTCCTCTTCCTCCTCTCTTTTCTCTCTCTCTCTCTCTCTCTCTCTCTCCCTCTCTCTTTCTCTCTCTCTCTCTCTCTCTCTCTCTCGTTCTCTCTCTATATGTCTCTCTCTATCCCCCTCTTTCCATATATATATACATCGATAAATATCGCTCTCTCTCTCTCCCTCTCTCTTTCTCTCTCTCTCTCTCTCTCTCTCGTTCTCTCTCTATATGTCTCTCTCTATCCCCCTCTCTCTTTCCATATATATATATATATACATCGGTAAATACCGCTCTTTCTCTCTCTCTCTCTCTCTCTCTCTCTCTCTCTCTCTCTCTCTCTCTATCACTACATATATATAGTGGTATCTATATATATAGATATACATATAGACAGAGAGCGATGTAGAGAGAGAGAGAGAGCGATCTATAGAGAGAGCGATATATAGAGAGAGCGATATATAAAGAGATATATTTATATATACATAGAGAGATCTATCGCTATCTCTATATATAGAGAGAGCGATATATATATATATATATATATATATGTACATATACATATATATATCGTTATCTCTATCTCTGTCTCTCTCTCTCTCCATCCATCGATCTCTCCATCTGCCTCTCTCCCTCTCTCTCTCGGTCTCTCTCTCTCTCTCTCTCTCTCTATATATATATCGCTATCTCTCTATATCTCTCTCTCTCTCTCTCTATGTTTGTATACGTGTATATATATATATATATATATATATATATATATATATATATATATATATATGTGTGTGTTTCTCTCTATCTCTTTCATTATCCCTCTCTCTCTCGCTGTCTGTCTCTCCCTCTCTCTCTCGCTCAGTTGATATCCCTCTGTATGTGTATGTGTATGTTTGTGTATACGTGTACATGTGTACAGAAAGGTACGTATGCAGGTTAGCCAGCGTGCACCCCAAGCGGTTGTTCTAGCACTCTAAGTTGTGCAATACATGGCGTGCAAAAAATAGTGTGAAAGATATGTGGTGCAACATGTGTGGTGCAATCTACTTGATGCAATGTGTGTTGTGCAATGTATTTTGTGCGGGACGCACTCTGCACTACATGTGGTGCAATCTGCGCTGAGCAGTTCATCTTATGCACACTACGTGTTACAGGATATTTAGAGCAATCATGGCGGTGCTCTATATGATGCGCAACCCCTGCGGCGCAATTCACGTGGTGCGATCCATGTGGTCACCACACGTTGTGCATCTATGTTGTGAAATGACCAAATAAATATAAATTAATTAAGAATATATATATATATATATATATATATATATACATATATATGTATGTGTGTGTGGCTCAATGTATGTGGTGCCGTCTACGTGGGCACCATAGGAGGAACAATCTACATGGTACAATATATATATATGTATATATATGTATGATGAAACCAATGTTGTGCAATCTAGCCGACGAGGTGGCGACAAGGCGGCGACGGGGCGGCGACGGTGCTGCGACGGCGATGACGTAGCCGCCGGACTGCAAGACAGGCCCAGACGACGGGCGGCGATGAGGCAGCGACGGGGCTGCGACGGCGGTTACATAGCCGCGGGACCTTCACACAGGCCCAGTTCCTGAGAGAGAAGAAGTAAGAACCCCTCTGAGCGCAAGCACTGTTTGAGGAAGATACAGACATGCATATATATATATGTATTTATATATATGTCGACATACGTACATATATACAGACATTCCTACATACATATAGATGCATATACCTATATATCAGTTCACAGACATGCACAGGTACATAGACATACATAGATACATATACAGTTACATAAACACAAAATATATCTACCCACATGAATACAACTACAAAGACAAGTACGAATACAAATACATATACGTATACCCACACATATACAGGTACATAAACATGTACATACATATATATACATCTATATATATATATATGCAAGTGTATATATTCGTACGAATATATATATAATAAAATAGAATATAATATAATATGATACAATACAATATGATACAATATAATATACTATGATATACTATAATATAATATAATATGATGTAATATAATATAATATAATATAATATAATATAATATAATATAATATATGATTTAATATAATATGATATAATATAACATAATGTAAAATAATATAATGTATATATTCAATATGTATATATATAGATATCGATATATATATATATATATTCAATTGCATGTACATAAACGTATGAATACGCGCATACATATACTCATACTCGTACATAAACATATACACATGCAAATTCACATACCTATAGATTTACACATACACCTAAAGATACACATTCCAACACGAGTACATAACCATATACGTATACATAGAAATATGAAAATGTATGTATATATATATATATATACATATATATGTACAAAGACCAATACGAATACATAAACATGCACATAATTGGAAACATGTATACGAACATATATGCACACATGAACACATACTGTATACATACATGGAAATACACATACACACACACATGTATGTTGCACGGCGGCTATAATGAGCCGGAGTTGATGCATTATGCTTGAACACACAACCTCACCCGACCTGAACAATGAAAACTTAGACCGGAAAATGGAAGCCCATTCTTCCACCAGCATGGTTGCATCACGATGGTAAGATGCTGTTTCAAAGTTCGTTCTCTTCCTCTTCCTCCTCCCCCTCATCCTCCCATTCCTCTCCTCCTCCTCTTCCTCACCCTCCTCCAGCTCATCCTTGTTCTCCTCCTCCTCCTCCTCCACCTCCTCCTCCTCTGTTTTCTCTCTCTCTTTCTCTCTCTATATGTGAGTACGTATGTATGTATATATACATATATATACATACATCTCTCACTCTGCCTCTCTCCCACTCTCTCTCAGTCTCTCTCTCGTTCTCTCTCGGTCTCTCTCTCTCTCTCTCTCCATGTTTATGTTTATCTCTATATATATATACATCTACATAATATCGTTTTCTCTCTCTCTCTCTCTCTCATTATCTCTCTCTCTCTCTCGCTGTCTCTATCTCTCTCTCTCTCTCTCTCTCTCGCTCAGTTGATCTCCCTCTGTATGTGTACGTGTATGTTTGTGTATACGTGTACATGTATACAGAAAGGTACGTATGCATGTTAGCCAGTGTAGCACTCTAGGTTGTGCAATACCTGGCGTGCAAAAAATAGTGTGCAAGATATGTGATGCAAAATATGTGGTGCAATCTACGTGGTGCAAGGTGTGTTGTGCAAGGTATGTTGTGCAAGACACAAACTGCACTATATGTGGTGCAATCTGCGCTGAGCATTCCATCTGATGCATACTACGTGTTACAATATATCTAAAAAATGACATAAACAACAAAAAAAAAAAAACAACAACAGCAACAACAGAAAATGGCGG